ACCCGGGTGTAGGTTTAGGCGACAGTCCTATTCCTCAAATGCGCAATGGACCGATCTAAAAACAAGGATGGGCAAACCCCAGCCACACAATTGTATGGTTTCAGGGTTCCGTAGGGTTTCTACGAAAATACTACCGTACACGTACGTTGAACTAGCAGAAGCTAATTTGCTGGCTGTTATGGAGGCCAGTACCTTAGTGACACAAAAAATATATTTCATGTAGTGAGATCTCGACCTGACAGAAATGAAATAAATGGAAGCCCACACTTCGTGGAATGATTTATGGTGTAAGAGGAATCCACTTCAAACGAACGGGAAGCTCTGAAACCACCTTAACAAACAGTTATAATTGAATAACGCTACGCTACTGGTATTTCAGATAGTTATGAGGACACTAAAAATCCATCTAAGGAGAGACGACTGCTTATAAAGTTGATGAAGTGCACCATGTCGTTCTTGGTCCTGCAGACAGTTATACGAATCTGACTAGCAAAAGTTGATTTACTATTATGCTACCGCAACAAAAAATTACTAGGTAATTAAAACAGTATTCTGTTTATGAGAAGGTCTAACGGAGGTGTACACCAGAAGTTAAGATAATGGTTCATAGAGGATAGCTGCACAAAAGGCACATGCATGTGTATCACCAATAAACCGTTCAAACTCTGAGGTGAAAACGAAAACATTCGTAATTCGGCTCACTTTTCCGGAAGGTGAGGACAAGTTGTAGGGACATTGAATCATTATTTGCACAGAGGGTGGAGAGTCGCAAAGCTACATATATCCTGATTAATCCAAAAAATCCCCTAACGTTATCTCGACCCTTGGTATTGACCTGAGACTTGCACACAGAAGACAGAATACATAGAAGATGGGAAATTTCGGGATTAAAAGCTCATTCTACAGATGCTGGTCCCGTATATGGCAGATCTCCACGCTTAACTTTATGATGACGGACACCTGTGGAAAGAAGAAGAAATGATAGATGCTAACTCACACAAGTCTTGGAATGACTTACGCTTCTCGGACAAGGTACTTAGTTGTCACAGACTTTGCATAACTTGATAGATTTACTCCAGTGAGTGCGAACGTGATCAAGCAAACGAAGTTTCCCATAACGACGTCGATACAACAACTCTTTACCGCAACCCTGAAAAAAAAATTGGCTCCGTACTCTAAAGTACTTCTATTTCTTACTGAAGAATATATGTAAGCAGCGTTGCCGCATCAACGATTTTTGCAGGTAAAGCGTTAGTATAGATCTATTCGAGCTGAGGTAAACCAATCGAACGAGAAGCAACACACCGGCATGCGGCAAAGTTAGATTCCCGTGCTCAATCAGTGGACGTTGGGTGAAATATTTTGTCGTCGGAGGCCTGAACAGCACTAGTAACTTAGTTCTGTAAAACATCTCTTTAAAGGATTGCTCTTGTAGCGATCAAAGTAGCAGCCATCAAACACTCAGCAAAAATCGCATACAGCCTTCTATTTCAATATCTAATTTACGAAGCATAAGTATTGGAAAAAAGCTACAGACCTTGGAAGAGCACTTATCCTGTTCTTCAAACTTGCATCCATCGATGCCATCCGATAGAAGATGCGCACGTTTGTGGTTGGATTCTTCGGGAAGTGCACCGGATTCAGTTGTTGAGTTTCCAGCACTACTCAAGTGATCAAATTGAAAGCCAACTGTCATCTTTGGCGACAGACATGATGAGCGCACAGATGCAGCCATTTGTTTATTTAGACCCTGCGCATTTGAATAAGGTGCATCTACAGTTATGCTAAGTGACCCTGTTTCTCTGATTAAACTGTTCTGACATTCATCATGTGAATGGCTGCTTTCATGCTTCGACGTGCGTGCTTGCACGAAGGTGGAAACGGACGTACATTTAGGGCGTGCGAGCGGCTGTGCGACGGCGGCCCCATCCAAGCGTGTGACTCAGCGGGTACCGATCAATACCGCAAATCGAGGATGGCTGCTGTCACACGCTTGGACGGGGCCGCCGTCGCACAGTCGCTCGCACGCCGCTCCCTGAATGTACGTCCGTTTCCACCCGCGTGCCGGCACGCACGTCGAAGTATGAAAGCAGGCAATGGACATCATCTTGACTATTACATGTGGCTACGGTGCTAAGTGGGTTGGGGGGGGGGACCACGCGGCGCGGCTCCCCGCGCGCTCCATTTCCACGTTCATATAAAACGCTCCCGGCCCTTGTTTTTCGTAGCTTGACGTTGGTACGTAGGCAACGAAGATTGTTTGAATTGGAATTGAGACATATCTTCTCAATCGCAATCGTCCGATTCCGATTGCCAAGCTCTCTCACGAATCTATGTTCATGGTCAAAAGCGTTTTGACGAGGACAGCTACACCGCTGACACCTCTAGGGACATGGCGTACAGCGGGCGGTGTTTTCTCGTTTCGGTCAGCTCAATAACTTCATACTTGATCCTCGTGATTTCCATCATCAGATCCTCGATACACGCTACCGATGCAAGCGTTCGTGCATTGGAAGTGCAGATCGCCACTTAGTGTCATTTTCCCCTTAGGTAACTTGTTACGACCCTAGTTTTCAGTAGCCTCTCCCGGGTGGTCCTATCCACCGTTGCTGTGTTGGGGCTCCCTCAGCTGTAGGAGAACTTTGTCAGGCTCAAACGTGGGCTGTGTTGACTCCAGGTGCTAGCCAATCTATCTCAGCAGGGATTTAACTTCGGACATGGCCCCGAATCGCCGGCTACTTATTCAATCGAATGCAAGCTTTTGACTGAATCGATTGGCAGGATACCAACTGCACCCTAGACTCTCCACACACGTATGGATGGCTGCGACTGGGAGGTAAAGGAAATATATCGAGCCAGCACAGCAGAAACATGTACTCTATCCCCTGAATCCACCTATTCTCCAAGCTAGTACCGGCAACTTCTGGTCGTCAATTACTGTCCTATCCGCCACCAGGGGACGCCCTACACAGCCTCGCCGCTAACCGGCTAGAAATCAGAACCTTCAGTAAAGGAGAGCCGTAGGCAGCAACAAATCATGTGAATATTATATTAGTCCACTTATTTTCCCAAGATATGTATGCAGCCGCAATGATTGCCATTCTGCTTTCTGTAGTGGTTTTCTCGGCTTAGGGCGAGGTATCTTTTGTGCTGTTCAAATTACACGGCAGCATGCATTACATGCACAGCGATCTGCGGATCTCATTCACTGAGAGTTCTCTCCCATGAAAGAAACCGGGCTACGTAGGGCGTCTCAAAGTGGCGTACAGGGGAGTAACCGAAAGTCGCCGGTATTTCCTCAAAACGCAAGTTTATCTAGGGATGGATTTCCTAATTCTGCTGTGCTGGGTCGATATTTATTTATTTACTTATTTATACACTCGACTGAGTGCGCCACAGCTAGTAGCAAATAAACCACACTTCGCCACTACACAAAGTGAGATTAGGCAGGGAGATAGAACAAAAAGACAGGTGAGTACCGATCTTCAGAAGCTTGCAATGATAATGATTGCAACGAAGATGTATTATACAGTGCGTTCCGTAAGTATAAGATCACCCTCGAGATTGGTATTTACGCAATAAGCACCCAAGCACATCATTCTGGCACCACCATTAAATTCATCACCTCAAATAACCCCCATACACCTGCTTTGGTTTATATGAACATTCAACTTTTATATGAACATTTATATAGATAGTTTCCGATTTTTCCGCCGTTTTACAAGTATAAGATCGCTTCTGTCAGTACGAATGTTTCGAAATCGGGCCCAGCAGAATTTGCACCTGGGTAGATCTGTATAGAAGAGAATGTGTCACAAATATGTTTGGAAGTAATTTGCATTTTTGCTCCGCGGAGGTCATCGTTCTATAGAAGAAAAGTCCAAAATCGGAATTTCCGTGATGCAGGGTTCAGTGCGAGGGCAATTAGGAGGAGAATCGTAGGATCATCCCTCCGCTAGATATTTGTTGACTACAGAGCCCCACGAGGACAGGATGCCCGTGCAAACTAACCGCGAACGAGAAGGAGGATTCTAAGAACTATTTTGGACAAGACCTTGTCGTTGAACAAAGCCTGATCGGAGTCGAGAAAAGTTAGTTTGGAAGGCACTGAAGGTTACAACTACTACTGGCTTGATTTACGAAAAGAGCCGATTAACTGTAGTCGTCGCAATTTTGGAGCAGGAAGTGTCATGGTACAGGGTGCCTACTGCACAGATGTCGGGCTGATGCTTGCTCTCGTGACCTACAAAATGAACTCCTAGGACTTTTAGGAAGTTTTCACCTGATGCCGTTTATGAGCCGGCGACGTGGTCCTAACTACGTTTTTCAACAGGACAGTGCTGCGATCGTCCACGTTAGTCATTCCTCAAAAGACTGGTTCTTTTCCCAAAATTTCGAAGTTCTGACATGGCTAGCTTGCAGCCCCGATCTGAACCCGATGGAGAATCTGTGGGGCATTGTAAAAAAAAAAGATTTGTGCGAACCACCCTCAGTTCCAGGCGATAGAAGAGCTCATGCAGGCACTTTTATCATTAGTCACTTTAATAAATCATTTAATTACTTTAATCTTGGAATGAAATATCACGCGAGCTTGTTCGAAACCTTGTTTCGAGTAGACTATTCGGGCTAGAACAAGAAAGACTCATCGACTACTGAACGTTTTTATCGATACTAATGCTAATTTTTTTTTNNTTTTTTTTCAAATTCTCAAAGCGGTCTTATACTTACGGAACGGCGTATATTTCAAGAATTATTTATAAAGATGGTGTGGTGGAAGTTGATTCAAAAAGCGTATGTGAGGGTCATTCAGGGTGATGAATCCGATAGTAGTGCTTAAAACTTATCTGATTGGCTGCTCATTCTGTAGACACCAAATTTGAGGGCGATCTTATACTTATGAAACACACAGCCGATAACCGCACTAGCTGGACATGGTACCCTCATTCCGTAAGGAGTCATAGGACCAGGACGGAACTTCGGCGCACGGGTACGTCAACTTGTCTCGTTGGAACGACTTGTATGCTGCTGGCTGACTGGCAAGAAGTGAAGGGTCGAGTTGGACATCCGCTAAATTGAAAGCATCTAGATAAGCAGACTTAGCAACGGTGGCGACGGACTGAAATTCGATAACGCTTGAAAGAAATTCAACGAATTGAGAGAAACAAAAAACAATACAAACAGGGAAAATGAAAAGAAGTGGAAACAATCCTGGGAGAGACACGGGATAGAAGTTAAGCTCATGAAACTAAGCTCTGAGAAAGAAAAAATTGCGAAACAGAGGATCAATCAAGAGAGTCTAGAACCAGGATGCATGATGCAGAAAAAAAGGGAAAAGTACATAATAGATATACCTTTCTATCTCGCATGTGTATCTACGCGAAGGCGTGATGGGAGTGTCAATGCAGTTGCCATCCTGCCCATCGAACCAGCCAAAAGCGTGCATCCGAGTTACTGGAAAGTAACTGGGAGACGATTCGGGGCCGCCTCAAAATCAAACCCCCTCATCTATTCTGGAATAGCCTTACTAGCTACTCGGATTCAACCCAGCCTCCACGATAGAGTCTGGCAAGCTACTCATTTGTACCCATATGCCAAAAACAGTGCTATAATGGACCTCATTGCCCTGAACCTGAGAGAGAGCTCCTCTACGGTTGCGTTCAATGGGATGGCTTGGAAGAGGCTACGGAAATTTCAGGACTAAGATAGGGCAAATAGCGGACCAAAATGGCGATCTTCTCATCTAACACACAAACGCTTGCATCAGAGGCTGCATCTAAGATCTGAAGATGCTAGCTAAGGAGAAGGGGTGCTAAGTGGGTTGGGGGGTGCCAGGCGGCGGCGCGGCATCCTTTCTCGGCTGTCGCCTCTCGAGCGGGATAGTAGTGGGCTTGAATCTGGGAAGGAACGGTGAGCTTTTACTGATGCGTTTCGTGATTTAGAACAAACTAACTCTTGACGCATGTTGATATGCTTCCATATTATGGATACCCTTCTTCTGAGTCGATAAAACCCTATTTTTGAGAAGGGGAGGGCTCCGGGGTAGGTGAGATGGTTATCTCGTTCAAAAAGCTGAGGTGAGATAAGAGTTGAACGTCCCATTGGCTCACCCACCCCGGAGGCCCCCCACCCTTCCTAAAATTAGGTGAAAAATACACAGTTATAACCTGAAACATATGAAACGTCCCTAAACACCATTACGAGCTCGACCACTCTTCCTCCTCTACTCTTTCGCTAGAGAGGCGCCAGACGAGAAAGGGTGCCGCGCCGCCGCGTGGCACCCCCCAACCCACTTAGCACCGGCGAAAGGATCATCTTCATCAGGAACGACTTCATCGGATTGACAGAGACGAGAAGATATAATCCACTGCGCGCCATATTAGATAGTGGAGAAAATAAAACTTTTGAAACATGCAGTAGCAGGGGGACCGGCGTGTTTGTTCTCGTCAATACGCTTTTGGCTTTGACAACCCTAATCGGACGTTTGCAATTGGGAAAATGTGGCGCAACCCAGCTCACACTCTCTTCGTTGTCTACGCACCAATATCAAGCTACGAAAAACAAGAGCGAGAAGGGTATTATATGGACGAAGAAGGGATAACACTTTCTTCAAGCTCATCGTCAGTGATTTCAACGCCAAGGATGACCTCAGAAGAACGGCTCAAAAGCTGAATATCGGGACTGACGGAACAGAATGGAGTAAGCAGGGAGAAAATGTGTCCGAGTTTATTATGTCGACCCACACCACCCCTGGAAATTCACAGTTCCAGAAGCTTTCCCATCTGCGATGTACACGAGGGTCACCTGGTTGACGGTCCCATAATGAGTAGACCACATCATCTCCGCTCGAAAGTTGTGCATGACCGACGTCGCTGTTGTTCTGAAGCTCTTCGTGTAATCGGATAATCGTCTCCGCCGAGCTAGATTCTACTTATCGGTGAGGGAGGGAAAATTATTGCAAATTCAGGACACATAGCTCCAAGACCGTTACCAAATGTGACTACTTCGCTTCCTTTGCGGGTTCCTAGGATGATTCCGCTATCGACTACATCGATTAGGAATGCAACTGGCTTGTTGAACATTTTCACGATCAGTGCTTGGGAAGTCGAGATTTCACAGTATCTGAAGAGACGTCTCTCTTTGAAGACTCCAGAGCTGATACACTCGCGTGGAATCGCGTGAGCTATCGGCACTAGTCAACAAACGTGATAGCTTGCGATGCTGTGCAATGAATCGGTAAGGTAAGCTGGAAAGGAGAAGAGCAGTATTTTGGACTGAGACCGCCAAGGTCGGGAAGGCATTCGCGAGCCTGCGGAGCTCTGCTAATCACTAGACAGATGACTTCTCTTCCTCTTCGAGGGCCACGTCTACCTTTCTACCTACCATCTTAGGCAAAGCGGTTTCTTGACCATTTATGTATTCACTTTTGCACATAGGGTGGGCCAACAATTTGGCTATAGTGGGAACTAAAATAGAAGTTCTGCAATCGAAAGAAAAGCAAGACGAAAAGAGAGAAAGGAAAAATGAAAAACAGAAACACAATCGTGGCATGAGTCAGCTCGCTCAAGAATGGCAAGAAAGTGCTGTAACAACCCGAACTAAGAAGACAATTCATTAAACAAGGCGATCCAATTCGAGCTGTTCGCCAATTTGACACTGAATGAGCTGAGTAAATGTTGGCAAAGGATCGTGGGTTTCAGGACCAGCGGTACTGAAACAGACCAGAGTCCGGTGGTTCGTAGGATATTCACAAAACCAGTAGTAGTCCATCCATTGCTTGCTAGAACTTATGTCTTACATACTAGTGAGTATCACAGCCACATGTGCTGAAAACTCATGAATGAAGTCTAGAATCACAGTAGGGGCAACGCAACTAAACGAAGTTATCATGTGGAGAGCCAGAGTGGATGCCTTTTTATTCTGAATATGATTCCTTGGCTTAAGACCCAGACCCAAGTAAGCTGTTAGATAATTCAGGTTTCTTGTTGACCTGTAAACACACTTGAGACCAGAGATACGGTCTAAAGAGTTCGCAGTGAATTGTTCAGAAGACCGACAAGACAGCGGAGTGAGAGTGCACTGTACTGGTGAAGCGCCGCTGCTGGATAACAATGTACCACAAGGGTGGTAAGCATCAAGACAAGTTGGCGAAGGTTCAGTAGCAAGACGTAAAAGGAGAAAACACCAACTGCGACAATATAAGAGACTCAACATCGAGCGCATCCACCACCTCAGAAACTTTGGCCGCGAGCTCTTTTTGGCGAGTCGAGGGGGATGGACTCTTCCCACCTTCTTTCAAGCCAGCAAGCACAATACTACGGGATCGTTTCTCTTTAACGAGATGATCAGCGAAATCTTTAGGCATTTTGTCGCATAAAGCAGAGAGCATTTGCGCAACTACTGGGTCCTTGTTAGTTTCCATTATATTTAGTAAGAGCTCATTGACCGAAAGCTTACTATAATCAACGGAGACAGAGCCAAAAGCAGCAGCTGTGCTAGAGCCATTCACTACAGGAACATCAGCACAAAAATTGCTGTTCATCTCGACCTGAGAAACACCATTTTTGCCATTCGCAACTTCTGCTACAACATTCAGATTCCTCTGCTTGCGGGTCATAACCATGGCTAATAGCAATGAGGATCAATAGGATCGATTAACAGGGCACCCAGGCAACCCGACACAAACGAAGACAAAGCAGGTAGAATTCGGAGGCCAACCAGGGGTATGCACCAAGGAAAGCAGACAAACAAAAACACGATACAAAAACAAATTGATACACAGTATAAAACCAGTAAAACCGAAAAAAAGCGATGAAATCGAAAAGCAAAGCGAAAAATAAACTGACCGTTAAGAAACGCAGCCGCACCGCCGACCCCATGAGAACACCATATATGTACCCCATAAGAACACAAGAAACAGGAGTGTGACCCGATTCTGGTGATTATCTCCATTGCTGGATCCGTAGGTGCGGACGTGCTCGATAGACTCCCGACATGTGGTCAAATATTTGCGCCCCCGATCAAAAGTCCACTTAGACCTCCATATACTCTGGTATAAGTACAGTTTTAAACTATTGATTACATGTTCATTAGGGGAAGGATCTGCAAAGCCGGGGCACACTAGTCTAAAGGTTTAGCGTTTTGCCCCGCCGAAATCCATGAGAAAGAAGGTGAAAGGTGACTGAGAACTCAGACCCGAATGTTCCTGGAAGGGTCTTGGGTCTTTGAGTGGTTTGGTCCCCACTGGGCAACTCATGCTGTCCAAAACAAAATTGGCCCATAGACCGTACGGGGTACATAGCAGGCGGTAAAACGGTTGAGACTTCTAGAGGGGGCATCCCAATATGCACCGTGATCCTTGCAGTTTGTTCCACTTGAGGGTCTTCGTAGTCATGTCATGTTGATTGGAGCTAACCAAAGAAGTCCATGCGGATCGGTCTGAGTGGACGGATGCGTCAATTCCTGATATACCGGGACACTGGTACCTGGAAAAAACATATCGCTCTTCATATTTCTATCATTAGCGAACATATCGCACTGAGGTTCTCTCCACTTGCGGGCGATGGCTTCAAAGATACAGTCTGATACTCTCCAATCATCACAGTCTATCATACGACTAGCTCTATCCGCCTTTTGATTAAATTTGAACATACGACTTTCCCATTTCAATCCCAAATATCGCGTGTGTCCTTCTAAAATTCGCACATGATGACAACCGCTTTCAAGATCGAAAATGGTCATGAAACCTTGCTCTGGAAGCACGTTGAGAACGGTACTGATATCATCGAACTTAATTTTCGGCTCATGGAGAAATTTTTTAAATGTAATAAATCAAGAACCGACCAAAGTTTTTTACNTTTTGCCAACGACAGCGAATGAAAATGAAGGTTTTGCGAATCGCCGTGGACTTCGCGAATTGCTCCGGTCGAGAGGAGTTTCTAAGATCTCTTTATTAATGAAAACTTTATGGATGAGAGCTCATTTTCTATTGCGTGAGTCTCCTGGCTTAGACGGAGTAGAATGAAAGGGCAACGAGTACCGTTGTAAAATCGTGGTCAAGACCACCTTAAGTGGCTCGAGAGCCAGCCATACTTCATGAGTTATGTATTGAACCAATTACAAACCCACTATTGACTTCCTGGACACTCCTTGGCGCAGTGGCCTTCTCTTCCGCAGAGATTACATGACGTTTTTCTTCGATTCTCCTCTTCTTTGTAATAGTTGCGAAACTCTCTTGAGTCACGCGTGGGTAGTAGGTCTCGATTACGAAGAGGGGCGACGATTCGTGTGTGATCTGCTCTACTTGGACATGTAACTGATTGGCGTGCGAGTAACGAAGGAAACAGGACGCCAAGCTGTTTCTCTCCCTCGAAAGAGCATGGACTGTTTCCGCTTTCTGTTGCTCTCTTGCTCCTTCCTTACAATGTCCATGAATTCTCCGAGCTTTGAGTCCATGCTTCTGAGCGCTTCCGATCCCTTCTTTATATCTAAGAACCAAAAAACTTGCGAATAGGAATCCGCGATTTTAAGGTTTTTCTTCTCACATTATGATCATGAATCACCTCAAGTACTACAAGATTGTTACCTTCGACATTCTGCAATGGTGTGAGGTTTCGAATAATATCATTGTTGAAATGGTACTGACGGGCAAAACCTTCTTTCTTGAACGCATGAGTGGCCGGAGGTGCGTGAGATGACGAAGGTGTTTCCGCCTTTCCAGCTTGAATAATAAAATTAAGGTCTCTAGAGTCGAGACGAATAACAGTTTCAGTCAATTTTTCTTGAAGAGCACGCTCTTTCACCAGTTCAGTCGCTGTTGAGTCTTCGGCATCTCGATCCGCAGAAATAACTCCACTTGTCGACATATCTGACGATCCGGCAGGAGACAAACACACCGCTTACAGCTTACGCAATAGTCTGGATGATGAATCTATATCTTGGATCACAGATATACAGGGATCCCATGCGTCTGGTATCAGAGGTCACGCCATTGCAAAATGCTGCGCGAACTCGGCTGTTACGGCACCCCATGTGATCCCTGTACCGTATCGATATCACAGTAGTTCAAAACACCACTTCTCGCCTTTGCCACTGCACGATTTAACGCCCCTGAAACAACCTCATAACGTACAAAATAGCCAAAAATGTAACCTGGTCGCGCGTGCACGGCTCAGTTTGAACACTGTGATACCCACTATAATCTTGCTGCAACGTGGACGAATACCTTTACTTTTTCAGCCAACCTCGCGCAGGTCAACTTTTCCCATAACCATGGTTCCCGACAGTTCTATTCATTTTACGGGTAGATTGCATTTCTAAAGCGTAAAAAACGTTCGCAACGACAAGGGATAAGGATAAAGGATAAGGTTTATGGCGTTAATCGATCCCTTCTGTTGGACGTGCCCCGCAATGACTTCCATTCAAAATCGTAGTGACGTAATGAGTGTATATGTGGCCTATGCAATGGATTGTGGTGGCCAACCTATGTACAAGTCAGTGCTTTTATTCTTCCAGACGAGACTGGTACCAATTAATCGACCCCGGAGGGATAGAAGGCTTGGTTGGTCTGGGTGTGTGTCGATTCGTGCGATTCTGGGTGCGCGCGGAAAATTGCGCGGCGAAATTCGGTGCGATTTGAACGACTGCAGCGTTTAACATTGGGGCCCAAATTTGAAATAAAGTAGGTTAGTAGGATTG